ATTTTAAATATTTTGTGTGTGAAATGAGTTATTATGTTAATTAAACAACTTTTATTATTGGCGTGTTAAAGTGAAATTAAATATAAAATTTTTAAATGAAGTTGTAATAATTTACACAATTCACTTAATTACAATAATTTATCTGTTAGCATCTGTGATTTATTTGGCTTTTATTGTTAATATATATTTTAGCCAGTTTTATATTTTTTTTTACATTTCATATTCATAATGAACTGCAATTATTGTTCACAGGCTACTGTTATTAATATTTCAACAGTTCATGTCATGACCTTGCGTATCCTTGCTGTACGCATTTTTAAATAAATTTTTTTTTATCTTCTTTTATATCCTTGATTATTTACATTTCTTTTAAGAACACTACAATGCTACAATGTGTGTTGCAGGAGAGTAAGGGAAGAGCGACTGATTGTCGCATCACGCTAGTTTAAACGGCGTAAGACATTAATTATCCATTTTGGTTTTTTCCTTGTAGTCTGTCGGACGCATAAACGGTTCCTGCCTATCATTTTTCACTCCTTAATGTTTTACGGTAGGCGGTGTGCGTTTCATTTAAGTCGTAATATTTACATTTTTGTTTTAGAGATAAAAAATTCTTTTCCGTTTTTGTTAGCAGATTTGTTAAAAATTGCAAAAAATATTGCTTATTATTCAAGAAAAAATTATTTATCAAAGAAAATTGCCTTTTATTAAATAAAATAGTTAAGGCAGACGATTATACTAGGCAATGCAGTAAGTTCTAACTTTATGAATTATAACATAAATAAAATATAATATAAATAAATATAATTATCTGAACAATCAACAAAAAAGAAACTAGAAAGAGTAATAAACTATTTTTTTCATTTTGAAAAAAATTTTGTAATTAATAATTAAAAAAAATTAATCTGCTATAAAAATGATTTATTCCTAATTTGCTGACTTAGTTGGTCTATAACTGGTTTCGTTCATGATTTACAAGACATTTTAGTTACAATAAAATTGTAAGTTGTTTACTTAAAAACCTATGGCTGTACTTATAATGTATTCTAACCTTAAATAGAAATCTAGACATACCCTCGATCTATTAACTTTTACATAGTTTCAAGTATCAATTAAACATATTTAGTGTACACTGATCACGATCTTTTAACCCATTACCTGACAATGGTGCAAAAACGCACCAATTTTAATGTTATGTGTATAAATTTTTGTACAATAGGACAATGTTTTACGCACATTATACACATTTTTTTTATACCTTAGTGGTATAAATACAATTTAAAGAAAGATTTTGCAGAGCCTTGTTTTTGTTATTTTAAAATTATAACACTTTAGCTCATTTTTATGCTTGTGTTATATAAATGGGGAAAATTTGTTTTAATTTTTTATATAAATCTTAATCACAATAATATATTCTAACAAATCTATATAAATTACAAGCTATTTGATGATATAAGTACATCACACTAACTCTCGATGTTAAGTGATGCGAAAAACAATGTCAAAAAACGAGTACCAAAGTTTCATTAACATTTGACTTTTCTTACTACTAGCTTTAATAATATATCCAAACAATATCTGTAAAATATGTTAAGACTGTAAGTCTTTTAACTATATTGCATGTTTTTTACATCACTCTACTGTCTCCAATACCGTGTTCCGTCTGTTAATCCACGGACTGAACATTCAACTCTTCTTATTACCGGGTTTAATAATATCTCCGAACGAGATTTTTAAGATCGCTTCGTTTAAAATTCACATAAAATTTTTTATATTACTTCCCCCACTACCAATACTGTGGTTAGCTAAGGACTCTTAAGCCACCGACTGAATATAAACATCGCTTGCTTTGGGATGAAATAATATATTCATATATAATAATTTCAAATAAGATGTTTAAGGTTAGCTAAGGATCAGGTATCAGGCATTGCAAATTTGCATGTCATAAGTTTTTGTATGTCACATGTATAAAAATTTCTCTAGCACCCACGTATTCCTTATTAGTATAGCACATGAAATGGTATAGCGTCTTTGGTCAAAAAGGTGAGAATATTGTGTCTTTTCTGTTACTATTTAAAACAATTGTTATTAATATCAAGTTTTAAATATGCCAACATCTCAGCAACAAAAATATTGCCACATGTTTATAAAAGAAATTACCACAACTCACTCCGTTACTTCAAGGATTATGTAACGACTGTCAAGGATTGTAATTTTAAATGGCATAAAAAGGGGATACTTCTAATATTTACATTTAAATTTAAAATAAAATAAATATAGGCTTAAAAAAAACATTAATAGGTAAACTAATTTTTTCAATCGCTACTCAGTACAGAATATTTGGTCACCGGTGCGTATGAGTAACATTTAATTATTCTATATGAATATATGCTGAATTATATTAAGATTTTAGTCAAGAATTTTTTTTTTTTGTGAAAAATATATGTAATTTCATATTAATTTATTCAATTAAATTGTAAAGTTGCCCAATATAAGCTGTTGTAGATTTCATATTTCGTACAATGTACAAAATAGCTCAATTAAAATAAAAGGTTGAGTACGTATGTTGAAAACATAAATATATATAAAAATAAATATTGCCAATTTAAAAATAATGTGATTTGCAAAATAAAGGGAATAAAGGGAAAATAAAGGGAAAAATTCGACATACTAAATTTTAAAATTTTAATATATAGCATTTCAGTATTTTTATGATAGGAAATAAAGTGGTTTTATCAATTAAGACAATGAACTCTATTTCACTTTCATTTATTCATTTTTCATTCACTCATTTTTTTAAATTGATATTATATACTACTCTTTACCAATATACTCTTTATCAATATGTATTATATACCACTTTTTTGATGTTGTGTATTGTAAATAAACTAGTAAATTTAAACTCATTGTAGTCATAGTGCCAATTAGAATTATTTACAAATTAATCTGCGTCAGTGCACTAAAATCACCAATTCAGATCATTTCCATATGTTTCGATTAGCTCTGAGCTTCGTTAGAAAGTATATGAATTACCGATTTATTAACTAAATTAAATTATGTGATAATTGAGAAATAATTCATTTGCATGATCTTCGGTGTTTCTTTTACTGCTTTGTTCCTCAATCAGTGCACATAACTGAATCTAAATTAAATATATGTTGTTGTTATTTTACAATGCTATATAATATTTCATATATAGCATACAATGCTATTACAATTCTATTATTTAAGTGTATATAACCACAGAAATCCGATAAAGCTATATAAACTACAGAACTTCAATAGAGTAATATTATCTTTGATCTAAATGAGGAAGAAATCTTTATTTGGTTATGAGTAGAAATACAAAAAAAAAAAAAAAATAAAACAGTGTATATGTTGAAACTTTGGTGATAAATCTTAATAGCATTCAGGATTTGGGAATTATTATAATTAGTTATAGTCTTCATATTAATTAATTTTATTTCGAATATTCATATTTTATTTCTTTAGGACAAATAGTCTGATTGGCGATTTCAGGTGTTGTCTATGACATGGAATCATGGTCCAGTACTCTGAACTGAAATTCACAATAATCTGTTGTCAAATTGTGAAAACAGGAAAAATGGAATGCTTTCCAGTCGATGACAAATGTTCCCGGTCCACAAAAATCGGTTGTCTATTTGTAATAGCATGAAAAATGGAATGTTTTTTCAGTCAATGACTGATGTTCTTGGTCCACAAAAATCTATTGTCGAATTATGATAACATGGGAAATGGAATTTGCCTCAGTCAGTCACAGAAGTTCACAGTCAAATATTCTAATTTTGGCAAAGTGAAAACCACAATAATCACAAAGCATATGACTAAAACCACAATAATCACAAAGCATATGACAATTCATCCCTCCAGATATATAAGATAAGATAAGATAAGATCAAGCAGGCTATCTACCAGCAAATCCTTAAACTTAATGAGCAGAGACATCTCTACTTATGGAATCTTGTTTTTTGTTTTGTGTTTGCTTAATGTTTATCACTACGGGTCAATATTTGAGTTCAAGTGAGCTTGGAGCTTAAGGTTATTACTTCAACCTACCCTAATCTAGCTTAATGCTATAAACAGATTTCAATAAATTAGAAAGCCTGATATTCAAAGCATTTTTGTTTTAGTTTTGCTTTAAGTTAAAACATAGAAATTATCTTGATAATATAGTTATCTCTATAGGTATGATATGTTGAATATATGAGTATGTGTTGCATAAAGAGATTAAAAAACCAACTTAAGAAGAACTCAACAATAATCGAAATATGTAAAAAAGCTGCCGACAGTTGAAGAATTAAATTTGCTTTGAGAAAAAATCTCATTAGGTTAATTTGTAATTAAAATAATGGCGCGCATTTGAAACTCAGCGTGGATAAGTACAGCAAAAAGTTGTCACAAGTTTTTTTTTTTTCTAAAAAGGGATTTTCTTAAACTGCTTGAAAAAGTTTACAAACAGTTTAAATTACAAATACAAAATCAAAAGAAAATCTGCAAAAAACCGAGAGTTTTTCCACAGTAAGACAAAGTGGTTAAAATAAGTCAAAGAAACACTCGTTAAAAAAGAAATCCGTATGCAAGTGAAGTACAGCAAGTAATATTAATTAGCCAAGAGAAAGCGATTACGGAAAAAGCCCGATTAGATGAGGAAGACAGACAAACAAAAAAAAATGTAAATAAAGTTGTAAGAGTTAAAGATACTTTAAAAGCTTTTATGCTCCTAATTTGCTATTCATTTATGTACCTAAAAGAAAAGTAACCGATAACCGGTTCATTGCTTGTTTTGAACCGGTGGCTCATAAGTTTGTAGTAAAGTTAAGGTATCTTGCAAACACTTAATTACTTTTATGTGATATAAAAGTGATAGATGAAAGCTTACCTTAGTTTTCTAACTCGCATCACAGAAATAATTACAAGCATATTTCCAAAAATGGCGGCAATTATAATGATCAACATAATCGCCGCTTTAAAGGATAGTATCAACGTATCCAACCAATCGCTGTTCTCGCCATTGATGTGTGCATTATCGTAGGTGTCATTGATGGTAGATGCGGCTGCACCCAACACTGTAAGATTCCAATCAGTTTGTGCAACACTCGCATCCAGCACAGTCAAAGGATATGCAGAGAGTGCAGCTGCTGTTGTTGCTGTTAATGTGTCAAATGATTGTGGAATTGCTGTTGCATTGGCAGATGCTATAGTTGCTGCGATTGTTGGTATACTCTGCTGTGCCGTGTTGCTTGTAGACAGTATGGAAGCATTTGTTGTATGCAACATAGCAGCTGCTGTTAAGGCTACCGCAGTGGTTGTGAGAGTGCGTGCTGTTAATCTACACAATGTTGATGTTCTTGGCGGTATTGACGATGTTGATGGTGTTGATGATGTTGATGATGTTGATGACGGTGATAGTGTTGAAACAGTTGTTGCTGCTGTTGCTGTTGACACTGTCGTTGGTTCAGATAGATACGATGAGGTGGTTGTTGGTAAGGAAAATGTTGAATTTCTTGTTGCTGCACTGCACTCAGTTGTGCCGGCATCAGAATATGTGCCAATTGTAGTTGCATTGTTTGCTATTTTAATTCTTTTTCTGCGTTTTGTTTTAATTTTATCTGTAAGTTTAGTTAATTTTATTTTTCGTCTTAAGGATGTTGTAGTTTTTGGTACTAGTGTATTTGTTGTTGTAGTTGACATTACAAAAAACTTTTATTCTTAGCAAATACTATATGCACTATTCACACTACACTTTCACGCTTTTAATACAAGTTATTTACTTTTATACTTAAACACATATTTTTAATTATTTGATTTATTTTTTTTTTAATATTTAATTTGCATCACTTTTATTTTAATTTTGTTTTAATTTTTAATTTAATTTTTATTTGAATTTTGTTTCAAACTTTAATTTAATTCTTATTTTAATTTTAATTTTATTTGTAATTTTATTTTTAATTTAATTTTTAATTTATTTTAAATTAAATTTTAAATTTATTTTAAATTAAATTTTAAATTTATTCTAAATTTAATTTTTGTTTTAATATATATTTTTTAATTTTTGTATATGCAATTTAATTTCATAGAACACACGGCGTATCGGCGTATGCTTCACCGCCATTCAAATGGGTTCGCGCGCGTCTCGTGTCCAACACCGAAACAAACTGCCGCAGCCACGGAAATTCATTTGGAAAAATGCCGCTGGACGTTGTCGTCGTATTTCTTGTATCGTCGACACTTCTGCTTGATCGCCGACCGATGATTTCCGTTGATCGGCCGTGATAATGGAAAAAATCACTTTATTTTATTTCTTTGGTTATTAAAATATCTGTTCCGCTCTTCTTGCCGTTTGGGTTTGATTGTTTTGCTATTGAAGACTTGCGTTCTGCATAGAGAAGATTTTGATTATTAAAAAAAAATATTTTTTATTCTAATTTCTTAATAAAAAAAAAATTGTTTTTTAGTTTATTAACTGATTTTCACATTATTTCTTTCAGTTCTTAATTATAAAACCATACTGATTGTTTTAATAATTGAAAACAAATAAAAATTCACTATGAAAATTTTTATTAAAATTAATGCTCAAAACATTTATAAAATTTAACATTTTATGAGTTTGTGATTTAGCTAGCTAAGGAACTAATTTTTTAATTTTGGTTTTTGTGTACTGAAATGTTGTTTATATCATTTTTACAAATTACAGGGTAATTATATTTTTTTAAATCACAACTTCTAGGGAACTTACAAGTTCTTTCTTAATTCGATTATTTAAAAATTCTCAGCAGAAGATGATCGGGTATTGGTTAGGCAGTCAGTATGCTTTATTCTGGAATTATAATTTGTCCGAACTATGAAGTATATAATAATGTTGCAATATTCCGTTGGAGTTAACGGATATCCAAAAGCATAGTTTGGCTTATATATTTACAACCTTTAAAAAGCTTTTTCAATATTAAAAGAGCTTTCTCTCACGTATCTCAACTAGAAGCGTTTTTCGGGCATGAAAGAGCTTTCTCTCACGTATCTCAACTAGAAGCGTTTTTCGGGCATAAAAGAGCTTTCTCTCATATATTTCAACTAGAAGCGTTTTTCGGTCATAAAAGAGCTTTCTCTCATATATTTCAACTAGAAATGTTTACCAAGCATATAAGAGCTTTCTCTCATGTATCCCAACTAGAAGCGTTTTTCAAGCATAAAAGAACTTTCTCTCACGTATCTCAATTAGAAGCGTAAGTGAGAATATGAAGATTTGTTTTTCGCAACGTAACGTTTGATGAACGTTTGCTTTAAAGAAATTCAATGATGCCACCTGCAAAACACAGCTGTGAAATCCTACACTTTACGATTATTGCGTAAAAACGTGTGAAATGCTACTAAAGAACGCAGCTGCAATCATTCAGATGATTGAGCTTTTATTGCAAAACTAGATTTGTAGCTGTACTAGGCATGGATCACTATCGTATAGTATGTTTGGAGCCTTAAATGGCAAAGTGTTAAGTTTTACAGTCGTACGTGTCGTGGGTCGATTTTCAGAGCATCTAAAATGCTCATTGGTAAAATGATACCATTTCTGGTTTTTAGTACCTCTATATAAGTTTTCTTATTAATAGAATATGAAGAATGGTAATAAATAGTATATATTTGAATCACTATAATCTGGATATAATGATTTGATTTCAATTTAAAATTTTCTTGTGAAGTTCGAATTAGTTACCCAGTATAACTATCCTAGTACCCAGTAGGGTGTATCCTAATAATACACCCTCGACTTAAAAGATATATTTTCTTAAAACTCATATTATAGATATAGTGAGCCTCTAATAATGTGGAACTACTGCTCAGTTTATATATCGGAAAAATAATATAATTTTAATTTAAAAAATATAAAAAAGGAGTCAAATGAGGTCAATTACTTTTAAAACAATTATATTATTCTCCCAGTGCTGTACCACTTTTTGTTAAAATTAAATTTAACGTTTGTTCAATATTTTTTAATATATTCTATATTTCGACTCTCCTTAGGAGTCATCAACATGAAAAATTGTTCAGACACACATCTTACGGGCAGTTTTTTTTTAAATTCATTTTTTAGTACTGTTTACAAGTACTTATAGAAGTGCTAGAAGAAATAGAAGTGCTGTTTTTATTTTAGTAGAAATTATTAAAATATATGTCATTTTAACTCCTTGTTCCTTGGTACGTCTAACAGATACTTTGCTTCTTCCAATGTATTTATCTGAGCAGTGTAGGTTTTTACTTCAAAATTGATATAAGTTTAAGTTCTTAGATATATTAAAATGTAAAGTGGCATTTTTACGGACCTATTCTGTGCACTTGACAGATTTGTCAAATTCTTTAATAAAATTTTTAATTTTTATATAGCAGAAAGCTTTTTGGTATTCTGGACAGATCTTGACAAATTTTAAAGCTCAAGTACCTAATGCTTCTCACCACACTATGGTGTAAAGTGTTTTGTATAGAAAACTGTTCGTAATTGTTCATAACTGTTTTTAAAAAATGCTTGTAAAGAGCACATATTTTAAGTTGCCAAAAGCATTTTTCTTGCATTCAAATAACAATAAAATATATGCTTGTAAAGAGCGTATATTTTAGTTAAGAATATTTGTCATGCATGCAAAAAATAAAAAATGCTTAAAAAGAGCATATTTTTAAAGTTGTCAACAGCATTTGTAGTATTGACAACTAACAAGGAAAAGAGCTTTTTATTTATGTCACAGAGTACCAAAACCTTTACAGCAGTCAATTTTGACAAGTGTCAATGTTTGACAAGTTTATAAAGTGCACAGAATAGGTCCGTTAATGTCTATAGAAACTTATTTGGTAAATAAATGCATTTTAACAAGTTTAACAATCTTCATATCATTTTTGTGTGGATTTTGAATAGATTTTGATTGGATTTTAAATAGATTTTGAATGCATTTTTGAATAGCTTTTGAGTGGATTTTTGAATAGTCTTTGAATAGGTTTTGTATAAGAAAAGTTGCTGCGTGCAAAAGAGTGTGGTAGTCTAAACATATTGTTACCATATAACATGGAAGATATTACTCATAATTCTTATTAATATGTACAGTGGTATTTCTCTTCGATACTTAAAATAATTTTTTATTTTATATTCGACACAAATTGGAGTTTAAAAATTTGAATGCTATCTTTGAATAGTTATCGTCTAACAAAAACACCCTCTAATAATTGATTTATTTAGAGCAGATGCGGCAACTGTAGCGGACCTAAAGATATATATATTTGTCTGTTTGAGTGACGCATTAAGTTGTTTTAAATTTATACATTTTTTTTATTTTTAGTTTTCTTAGTCTATGCAAAGCTGCTTTTTAAAATGTTTTGAGTTGATTTTAATTTTATTTCAATTTTGAATTTTTTATTTATTTATTTATTTTTTTTTTTTGATATTTTTTATCTTTCCACATGTTCTTCAGTGAAGAAATATTAAAATATTTTTATTGTGCGCCTTCCGATTTTCGATGTTGTACAACAACTTGGCTAATCGTCGCATCGCTTGCTGCCCACCGGCGTCCTAATTATAACCTTTTTACATATATACATATATAAATATATTTATCTACATATATATATTTTTTTTTTATAAAATATTTTGAAATTTATATATACAAATAATATAAGCAACTTTTAGTTTGTGGTTTTGAGTTCATTTCAATTGTTGTTCTTGTTTTATTGTTGTTGTTATATATTTCTTTTCTATTTATTTTTGTCATTTCACATAAATTGGTAATTAAAATTTTCTGTCACCATGAAAGATTTTCAAAGGCAAATGTCGTTGGCAGCGGCCAAGCTGGCAACACTACCAACGGCAATGCTAAATTCACGCACGGGCTTTGAATTTGTTGTTGTTGCTCTTCTTTCTGTTATTCTTGCGAGTAGCGCTGTTGCTTTTATTGTGCTTATTGGTGTTGTTGT